CTGCTGGGTGTGGCACACCACTTGGAGCTCTGGTATTCCGCTCCTGTGTGTTCCTGCCCAAAAATAGCCCTGATGATGTCCTATGAGAGTCTTGCAGTTGGTGAAGTGAATGCTGATATGTAGAAGGACAGGAAATTGTATGCAAACATTTGTCCCTCTTGCTCAAGGCAGTGCAAAATAAATACTTTGCAATCCTTTCCCATTGGAAACTCTGTGAGAGAGATATCAACAAGATAAATGATAGTCTAAAAGCTGTAAGAAATGCCTTCAAAGATGTCTGCAATTTTAAATGTAGCAAAGGACAACTGTAAACTTAATCAGTAAAGTTGCAATGAATGATTTCAAGGATGTACACATTTTATTTCAAAAGTGTTACTAAGGATGTCTTGGGTGGGAAGGCCATATGGTATAGCTTGATCTTGTTAGATCTTAGAAGCTAAGCAGGGTGAGTACTTGAATAAGAGACCACCGACTCTGCAGAGAAAAACAATGGCATCCCACCTCTGCTTCTCACTTGCCTTGAAATCCCCTTGCTGTGTTCTCTATAAGTTGTTTGAGACTTGATGGCACTTACATACATGAGCATGTTTTGTCTTAAGTTCCTTGCCAAAGAATAGACCAGCTCAACAAAAGGCACAAGGGATGCCTCCTCAACAATATTTAGCCCCTACAAATATGGAAATACAAACATCTTTTGAATGCAGCCAATTTCTACCTTCAGTAAGATGATCTGCAATATAGGTTGTAGATAATGTGTTACATTCTTTGTTGCTTATCTTCTCCTTGGCTTTAGAATTGTTTCCTAGAGTTTTTTCATCTTCAAACTCAGCTTTCTGGAGAAGAAAAGCTATTAAAGTATGAAGTATATAGGCTTCCCAAGTCCCCCCGGGGGGCGGGGAAACCCCTGCCCCAGAGGCCCGTTCCCCGGCGCTGCCAGATCGGGCCCCGGGGGAACTCCTCCCCGACGTGCGCGTCACCTGGAAGTGATGCGACCACGCCGGGCACGCTGGGGGCAGGGCCACAGCCATCTGAGGGAAAACTCTATCGTTTTCCCTTGCGCGCGGTGGCCCCCGCCCCCGGCGTGCCTGGGGTTGTCACGTCACTTCCGGGTGATGTGCATGCAGCACGCACACCAGCCGGGAGCCCCCCGCTCCCAGCGAAGATTGACTTGGCAACCCTAGAAGTATATTTGGTTGTCTGGTAATTAATAAATCCATACATTTATTCTACATATTCTTCTTCAGCCCCATTAATGAGGCAGGTAGCCAACTATTTTCCCAATTTTTGTGATTCCCCATGACACTTGGAAAGTATGCTGTGTATTCATGCAGTCCTGATACTTCTATTTTGCCTTGATGTACTTGTTCCAGGCTCATTGAGTATTTACCCCAAAATCAGTTTGGGGCTGGAATAACAAAACTGGCAAAATCAAAAGATTTCTGGGGTTGTTCTATACCTTGGTGCTGTTTTATTTACAGGAAGAAAACTGTAAGTGGCTGTACTCTGTGGACATTGTTTACATACATGCAGGTGACAATGTCCTAAGAGGGAAAAGCTGATTCTTCTCTAGGCATTCTATCCAAAGAAGTTCAGAAAGTGGAGATTCATACCCACCAAAGTTAGCAAGGTCTTAAAATTACTGGTGGGTGCTTTCTTGCTTTCAGAAGACTCAGTGTAAAAAAGTGCAGGCCTCTGGAATAGAATGTTGGGGTTTCCCTCCTCTAACATGTGGAGCCTCACAGTTTGCCTTGCCCTCCCACTTAAAAAAAAAATCACATGCTGCCTTAATCATTATGCTGTCATTTAGAGAATGAAAGTTTTCACAGATTGGTTTAAAATGTGGCACTCATAATACAATGACTGGTTTTTTTAAAAAATGTATGATTGATTTTCTATTATTAGATAACATATTCACATTATGACTTCTTATTGCCCCAAGGATATATATTCATCCTTGGAATGCCAGCCTTTGGACATCACATTATTACAGTCAATAATAAATAGGCTTTATGATGTAATGAAACACTTTGGAAGCATTACAAGTACAGTGCTACTTATTGAGGGACAAGTGATTCATTAATGCCTTTATCTCACCATTTTCTGTATCACAAGTTTTACAAAACCAATGGAGATGCAACTATTCTCCTTGAATTTCCCATAATCTTCAAGTTTAAAATAATAAGAAGTTATAGAACCCAAGATAAACAGTTCATTTTCCTGGTCACAAACTGTATCAAATTGATTCCAATCTGGTCACACGCTAAAAACTCACCAAAACTGAGAAGCGTCACTTACCTAACTGTGTTTATCAGAGTACATAGCTCTTCAATAACTGTTTAGCCCATCAATTATGAAATGTAACAAGTGTTGTTCAGTTTACAGAAAAATAATGGCTAGACTTTTTGGCTAGGCCTTTTTCTCATCTATGTGAAAAGGGGTACCTAATTTTTTGCAATGTTTAATTTTTTAAAAAAAATTAAAAGGTCAGTAAAAATCAGCTACAGAATTTTTTCAAAAAAAGAAAGTATGAGAGTCAGGAAGACATAGTGGTGAGAGTGTTGGACCTGAGTTCATGGTCTAATTCAACCCCAAAGCTTACCTGATAGTGTCGGGCATATCTCAATCCAGCCTACCACACAGATATGTTATGAAGATAAAATGAGGTGACTCTGTTTTGACTGATCTGATCTTCTTGGAGGAAAGAAGGAATACAAACAGCATCAATGAATTAATGTCTATTATCTGGTGTTTTACCACCTTGCGTATTATCTGATATATTCTGAATATATAAGCATGTTATTCTACAAGTGCTATCAAATCACAACCAACTTATGGTGATCCCTCGTGGAGTGTTCGAGACAGTTTGGTGTAGTGGTTAAGAGCAGCAGACTCTAATCTGGAGCACTGGGTTCAATTCCCCACTCCTCCACCTGAAGCCAAGTGGGTGACCATGGGTCAGTCACAGGGTGATTTCTCACTAGAGCTGCCTCGCAGCACAGCGCCGTTTGCCCCAACACAAACATGTCAATTTCACACCCCAGGCTGCGGGGCTGCATTTGACTCGGGGCTTCGCCTGATTTCCTCCGCAGTTTCATGATCCTCAAAAACCAGGATCATGAAACTGCAGAGGAAATCGGGCGAAGCCCCAAGTCAAAATGCAGCCCCGGAGCTTCGGGTGTGAAATTGACATGTTTGTGTCGGGGCAAACGGCGCTGTGCTGCGAGGCAGCTCTAGTGAGAAATTGGCCACAGTTCTCTCAGCCCCCCCCCTCAAATAAAAATAAACCCAGGTCACCACAAAAAGAGCTAGAGTTCCAGGCTGTCCGACAATCTTTGGCTCTCCTGGCTATACTACACCCATTGCCATACGATAATTATTAGTTATTATGTTTGAGACAAGCAATGAACAGAGGTGGTTTGCCATTGCCTTCCTCAACACAGCAACCCTGGTCTTCCTGGGTCGTTTCCCATCCAAGTACTAACCACGGCCACCCCTTGATTAGTTTCTGAGCTCTGACAAGTTCAGGCTATTCTGGGCTATCCAGGCTGTAAATATTCTCTATACGTATTATTTTAAAATTAGGGGTGTGTATGCAGGGCTACAGGGCTGCAGTAGCTCAAGTGGTTAAGACGCTGAACTGTAGACTGGAAGGTCGGTAGTTCAGCAGTTCGAGACCCAAGTGCTGCATGACGGAGTGAGCTCTCGTCTCTGGTCCCAGCTCCTGCCAACCTAGCAGTTCGAAAGCAAGAAACGGCAAGTAGATAAATAGGTACCACTTCGGTGGGAAGGTAACAGTGTTCCGTGCGCCTCAGCGTTTAGTCATGCCGGCCACATGACCATGGAAACGTCTTTGAACAGCGCTGGCTCTTCGGCTTGGAAATGGAGATGAGCACCACATCCCTAGAGTTGGATTCAACTGACTTTCAAGCTAGGAAAACCTTTACCTATGCAGGGCTACAGGAAGTAACCATGACAAAAATAATTATTCTATATACATACTGGTTTTGTTATGGTTACATCCAGTGTTCTCTCTAAGCTGAGTTAGTGTGAGCTAGCTCACAGTTTTTTAGCCTCCAACTCACACATTTTTGTCTTAGCTCAGGAAGGATGGCTCCAGAGCCAACTAATTTATGCAGTAGCCAAATCGCTCGCTCACAACTTTAATGCCAGTAGCTCTCAAAGTAGAATTTTTGCTCACAAGACTCCACAGCTTAGAGGGCACATACATCCTGTAGCCTTGTGTTTATGCTCCTAATTTTTAGATTAACCTTGGATGGCTCAGGAAATTTAAAAGTGTGTTTACCTTATCTAAGGAGAATACACCATTCCTTTAGACTCTCAAAATCTTATTGGCAGGGGTTGATCAAAGAACTACTGTATCTGTGGCAAAGTTTCTGTGTTCTGCAAAGAAAATACGGGCTGAGATAATTTCCAATGCATAATCTACTCAAATTCTAACCCTTTAACTATTAGATATATTAGGGCAAGTGATATATTGGGAGTTTTTATGTAGATAGTTAATTTTAAGTTAGTATTTTTATTTGTTTTTACTCTGCTGCTGAGTAAATGACTGTAAATGAAAACAGACTGACTGATTGGCTGACTGACTGAACACTCCTGTAGCTTTGGCAGAGATGTTGTATTGGCATTCAGTTCAAACCTTGACTTGGGAAAGAAAATTTCTTAATAATTATTCACTATCTGTTAGGTATAAAACAAATATAAGCATCACACAGCATAAGAATCCTAATGTACTAGGACTTTAGAAGTTTAATAATTTAAGAAGCATAATCTTAATTCAAAATTTATCACAGCTGCTAAACTACCCAGAGCCAGTTTATTACTATTTTAACTTGGCAGCGAACACCTTTAAACTCAGCTTCTTTTGAAATACTTGAATGCCTGTGAGTTAACAACAGAGACACCAAAGTTGTTCTTCATGCAGAACTAAACTAACTGCAAATCTTATTACTTTTTCACAAGGAGAGAAAACCCTGCTGTCTGGGAAGTGGTTTTTGGCATCAACAACTTGGATCATCCTTCAGTCTTCATGCAGACCCGCATGGTGAAGACGATTATTCTGCACCCCCGGTATAACCGAGCTGTGGTGGACTATGATATCAGCATTGTGGAACTTAATGAAGACATCAACGAGACAAGCTATGTCAGGCCAGTCTGCCTACCCAGCAGGGAGCAGTTAGTTGAGCCAGATACCTATTGCTACATCACTGGCTGGGGACACATGGGCAACAAAAGTAAGATAAATGTTTTCCAGATTCTTTCACAAATCTATTTACCTTCCCCCAGCCTCTGTCAGTTATCTGCCTTTAGAGGAAATCCTCTGTCTCCAGCACTAGCAATGAACCTTTGCTGTGCATTATTAAATATTTGAACATACGAAATTCTCCCCAGCCAATGTTCTCAGCTTGTTTATACTTTCCACTTCATTTCATGTTCAGACATATCATAGGAACCAAGATCCAAGAAGGGACACGGTCTTGGGAGAGAACCACATACACAGCTGGATGTTCCTTTCTTTTTTAGCTCCAATAGTTCCCGCTGCCGAAGGCTGAATCTGTTTTGTAAACTGAACAGCATTTTGGCAATCTTACCAATAGGAACTGATATTGCAGAAAGAAACAAAGTCGTGTCACTTCCACACAATATACCTCTTTTGTTTGGATCCTAACCATATTATATAATTACTTACTTGTCTCTTTAAAAAGTCAATGGCTTCTCACATTTGTATCACATGTAATTCCCATGGAGCAGCAAGTAGTTTAAAGCATGTCTTTTACTGGAAATGACTGTGAAGAAACTCAAAGTTGCTCTGGTGATTACCTTGACTACAAATGATTGTGCTTTTCAACCAAGGATACTGTCAGGTCCCCAGTTAATACACTCTCCACAACACTATTTGTAGTGATGCTTTATTAGAGATATGCTTACACCAGGAACTTGATTTTTGTCAGGACTGAAGAAAGTGCATGAAAACTTCAGGTTATAGGTAAAACCAAGTACGCCCCCACCCCATGCATTCGTCAGCAGTCAGCCCCTAGTGTTACTATGGCAACCCTGAGATATATGGTGCCTTATCTAAGCTAGCAAGGCAGAGAAGTCTCCAAGGTCAAATCTCATGATAACAGACAGAGGGGTACAACTTAGGAAATGGTTATGGCTCCTACCAGCATTCATTCTAATATAGGGCTGCCAAATCCCCCCGGGGGACGGAAAATCCCCCGCCCCAGAGGCCCGTTCCCAGACGCTGGGGAATCGCGCCCCGGGGGGATCCCCACCCCGGCGTGCGTGTCACAGGGCAGTGACGTCATGACGCTGGGCACGCTGGGGGCGGGGCCACGGCCATACAAGGGGAAAATGTATGGTTTTCCCTTGTATGGTCATGGCCCCACCCCCAGCGTGCCCGGCGTCATGACGTCATTGCCCTGTGATGCGAAGCGCTTGCACGCACATGCCGGGATACCCCGGGAGTCCCCCGCCAGCGAGGTAAATCACAGTTGGCAACCCTACTCTAACACATCTTCAAGCTGAATCTAACACATACACTCCCCTCAGGAATTCCCTCCCCCCTTATACATGGCAAGGACAGCAGTGAAGCAAAGCAAAGGGAAGCGAAACTGAAACCTTGACAGATACCAAGTCAAATTATGACTCCCCCACTTGGCATTTAAGTATGGGCCACTTCATAACTGACTGCAGCATTATGGCTGAAATCTATTTCTATATAGTTGAAACGAATAGTAATCATCTACACTGTTCTGCATCTGGTCAGGGCCAGTAGTCAATAGCCAGTTCAAGGAATCTGCTTGCAATCTGAGTGTCCAAGGGAGCTGCACACAATCTGAAAGGTGCTCCTCCATGAGGTGCAAAGATCCAACTCTCATATTATACATACACAGAAAATTGCACCCTAGCATCTTCTGGGACAATGAGAGAGCCAGTTTGGTATAGCGGTTAGGAGCACAGACTCTAACCTGGGAAAACTGGGTTTGATTCCACACTCCTCCACATGCAGCTGCTGGGGTGACCTTGGGTCAGTTACAAGTTATTTCAGAGCTGTTCTCTTATGAGCAGTTCTCAAAAGAACTCTTTCAGCCCCACCTACCTCACAGGGTGTCTGTTGTGGGGAGAGGAAGGGAAGGAGATTGTAAACTGCTCTGAGACTCCTTCGGGTAGTGAAGGGTGGGGTATAAATCCAATCTCTTCATCTTCTTCTTCAGTACAAGGGAACACATCTTTCAGATTCTCGTGTGAGCTAAGAGCTGCATCCCAATATCAATGGCATTAAGGGGGAAAGGGATCCTTGGGTGCACTTATTGGATTGTGGAGTACAGATGCTTTGCATGGCAAAGTGTCTTGAGCCAGCCTTGGACTTGACATTTCTACATGTGATGGCAGCTGTGAGTAGCCCTGTGAAATCAGTTTTGTGGCAGCCATACCTACTACTCTTACATATAAACGATCTGGAGTGATATGGTTTAATAAGGAATGAACAGTCCTTGGTCAGGTGCTATGGTGCTATGTAACGATTAATTTACGTGAGCAGAGGAAGGTATAGATCTGATTTTATGCAAATATGTAACTTTATAGTCTGGAGTATCAGTATGAGAAAATGAATATAGAATATATCAGATTGAGATTACAGAATTAGTTAGCCCCCATACATTCTAAAATTCACCCAGGTGCTAATTTCCAAAGGAAACCTTTTGGGTTTTATGCAGAGGTCATTTCGGGGGGGAACGCAGTCCCCCCCGGGTGAGGTGCAGGGGGGCGGGGCACATGATGAAGCCCCAACACCTGCTTCCGTCTGCCCTGCTTCCAGCCCTCATTCAGCCAGGAGGAGGCAGGAGAAGAGGGAGGGTAAGTTGCTTCCTCCCCGCCTCTCCCCACCCCTGCCTGCCTGGGGCCAGGGAGGGCCTTGGTGGGGCTTCCTCGCACTCCCGCTGGCCTTGCAGGTCCACCGCTGGGCCCCTGATGCTAATAAGTTATGCTAATGAGTTCCCCTAGCTCTTTTTCTACGAAATGACCCCTGGTTTTATGTTATGTTATTTTCAAATGAGAAGTATTTCATGGTCTCCCCCCCCCCCAACAGTAGAAAATTCCTGATGGAGTTGGTAGGAGAAATTACTGGATATTTATACTGTGTCAGCAATATCTCTCTTTTTACAAATACAAATATATAGGCAGAGGAGGTGGTAAGCAAGCATGAACAGCACTGATACCAGAACAATATGATTATCCCAAAAGCAATTCAAGGTTGCCGTTCCCTAGTCTGCTCCCCAAACATTTCCCCCCTCCCTAGCCATATGCAAAACAACCTCTTTGGCACACGTAGTCTCAGGTAGAAGTCTGGTCACCTACTTCACCTTATCACGGAAGTCAGACTTGCACTCCTGATTCTAGGAGCATCAACTGAGCCTCAGTGCTGATCAGTAAGTATCTTCAAGCTGAATTAAAGTCTAGGGAGATGAACAGCACTTCACTTTGTACAACAAAAGAACATGATTATGATGACTGTATTTGTGTGTAGTGTACGCTGTTTGACAGAGATCACATCGTTTCTTCTCTTTAGTGCCTTTCAAACTTCAAGAAGGAGAAGTTCGAATTATTTCCTTGGAACAGTGTCAATCATACTTTGATATGAAGACCATCACCACCAGGATGTTATGTGCAGGTTATGAGTCTGGCACTGTGGACTCCTGCATGGTAAGCCAGTTCTAGAGAAGCAATACTAAGAACACATTTTATTATTTTCACAGATTCCCCCTCCATTTAGAAATGTTGTAGCCAGGGGTCATTTCCTGCAGGAGTGCACCAAGCCCCGCCCCCTGCTCCCAGCAGCCCTCAGTCGGGCCACGAGGAGCAAGAAGCAGCCAGGTAAATTGCAGAGATCCCCCCCCGGCCCGCTTTCAGGTACAAGCTCTCCCTCCTCTGTGAGGGCAGATCTGCACGTCCCCCCCCCAATAGCTAGCAATCCAAAACAGTCCAGTGGAGTCTGAGTGGTGGGTGTTGCCTTCTGACACACTTCTGGTGATGTCAGGGGGGGTGGCATATGCAAATAAGTTATGCTAATATGTTATGCTAATGAGCTCCTGCACCTCTTTTTCTACGAAATGACTCCTGGTTGTAGCCATAGTGTATCACTGTGCTACTTAAATTTGCCCAATGTGGGGTCAGGTAGCTTCTACACAGAAGTTTTGTTCCTGTATGGCATCCAAACTGGAGCAGGATTTTTGGGGGAGGGGAGCCTCCACGTGACGTTGTCCCTGAATTGTTCGCTTTCCAGATTTCCCCTTCCTTTGATATGATCTCTCACACCTAGTTTGATATGGCCTTTTGGGAAGGTCCCAGTCCAAGCACCTGTACATGTTGGTAGGCAGGAAGGTGCCTATTTTGTTCCTGTCTTGTTCACATCGGTACCATTTTCCTTGCCATGTGCACCCCCCCCCCAGCCACCACTCCCCCTCCACCCGATGGCTATTTTATTGGCAAGTCCTACACTGCTACAGTACAAAAACTTTATAAAGAAACAGTGCCACATCCTACTGTCTCCTCTAAAAAGTTCACCCCTTATATCTCCACAATGAAAAGGGCTAGAGACAAAAAAAATGAAAGCTGGGGGTTCAGAGAGCTAGTAGATTGTGGCAATAGATCGCGATAGCATTGTTGCAGTGTAGTGATCCAGCAGTTGCTAGGAAAAACAACAACTGGAAAAAGCCCTCCAGTAGCCCTGGGGTGGTGGTGGCCACAGCGACCTGAGGCAACAAACGTTTGGGGAACAGTGTCACGTGAATGCTCTGTTGGCACTGTGAATGCCTGTGCATTTGCGGTGGCACCAATAGCTGCACAGAGAATCATCATCATGCAGAAGCAGCCTTGGCCTTGAGTAACCAAAAAACAGGAAGATCAGACAGTAAACGTGGCTAGATTAATGTCAACTCAGTATTATGCTGGCCTCTTCTGGTGCCTTAGACATGGGACACCCCTATTGGGGATATGTATTAGATAGTTAATATACCAGAGTTTGCCAGGTCATAGAAGTGTGATATTGCATGCAGTAAATAAATCTCCCAAGAAGTATATTTCAAAAGGTGAAACTTACACTTATTCAGGTAGATTCAGTTCAAATTCAGGGCTATTTTTGGGCAGGAACGCACAGGAACGGAGTTCCGGCTGGCTCCTAAGTTGGCCACGCCCAGCAGGAACTCATTAGCATAATAGGCCACACCCAATAGCAGAAACTCATTAGGATTGGCTGCATTAGGGGTGTGTGGCCTAACATGCAAAGGAGTTCCTGCTACAAAAAAGCCCTGGGTTTTGACAACAAACAAGGTAAACAGAATAAGAAGGGAAAGGTGGGTGTGGCTGGATGACCGCACTTCTGGTAACATGGGGGTGTGGCCTAATGTGCTAATGAGCGGTGCTGTCAGGGTGTGGCCTAATATGCTAATGAGTGTCTGCTGTTGTGTGTGGCCTATTATGCTAATGAGTTCCTGCTGGGCTTTTTCTACAAAAAGAGCCCTGTTCAAATTTATGTTGCAATCGAAAGGAGAGAGAGAGAGAATCTTAATCTAAAGAGTACTATTCCCCATCACAAATGGCTGGCTGATCTGGCAGCACATATGCGGAGGTAAGAACATGGCTTTTAAAGGAGAGAGCTGGGTATGCATCTGGCTCTATGACTAGCCATGTGAAGAGTGGTATAGAACAAAGTGCACAGGGTGAGAGGAAGGATCAGAGAGTAGCTCCCAGGTTAAGAACAAAGAGAGGCACCCTATTAAGGAGATAGCACTTATACACACTTAGAGCGATGTAGCACTCCCCAGTGTCCAGGCATACGGAGTTGCTTACTCCACCCCTCAAATCCCTGTTTAGCTATAAATCTCATTGGCTCATCTTAAGAGGGCCACTTTAACTCAGCCTAACCTACTCATGTCTGTTCAAGGTATGAGCTTACGTGTGCATGCACACTTTTTCAAATACAAATATGTATTTGAAAAAGTGCGCATGCACACGAAAGCTCATACCTTGAATAAACCTTTGTTGGTCTTAAAGCTGCCACTGGACTCTAAATTTGTTCTAGAAGAAGAGAAGAAGAGATTGGATTTATAACCCGCCCTTCACTACACAAGGGAGTCTCAGAGCGTCTTACAAACTCCTTTCCCTTCCCCTCCCCACGACAGACACCCTGTGAGGTAGGTGGGGCTGAGAGAGCTCTTGACAGAAACTGCTCTTTTTCAAGAACAGCTCTTATCAGAACTATGGCTTGCCCAAGGTCATCCAGCCAGGTGCAAGTGGAGGAGTGGGGAATCAAACCTGGTTCTCCCAGATTAGAGTCCGCGCACTTAACCACTACACCAAACTGGTTCTACTGCTTCAGACCAACACGGTTGGCCACCTGGAACTACTCTTGTCTCACAGGGATAATGTTAGGCTAAAGTTCCACACTGAGTTCCCTGGAAGACAGGCGGGATACAAAAACGAATCTTTCAGTTGCTAAGGCACCAAAGTGAAATTTGTTTATCTGCTATCTATGGCAGCTCATGTGGTTCTGTTTTCCTCACAGCCAGTCTGTCAGGTACCTTAGGCTGAGAGGTAGCGATTGGCCCAAGATACCCCAGGGAGCTTTATGACTAGGGAATTCTTGAACACCCACCAGTCTGCTGACATCCTTTTTGCTGGTCACAAACAGCGAGCTCATTTTTCGATTATCCGTATCAGATGGTGTTGGTGATATGTTTGGTTCTGCACTGGGGGTGGGGGAGTTTCATCTATTGTATCAGATGGTGATGGTGATGTACATTTGCGGCCGCACTGCTCCTGAATGAAAATCCAGATATGTGATGGGTCAAGATCAGGGGTCGTTTTGTAGAAAAAGAGCTAGGGGGACTCATTAGCATAACTCATTAGCATATGCCACACCCTCTTACATCACCAAAAGTGTGTCATAAGGCCACACCCCCTGACATCACCAGAAGTGTGTCATAAGGCCACACACCCCGTCCCCAACGGTCCTGGCCGCCAGCCTTGCGGCTCCACTGCCGAGCCCCATGAGGGGCCCGGCGGTGGACCTGCAAGGCCGGCGGGAGTGCAAGGAAGCCCCGCAAAGGCCCTCCCTGGCCCCAGGCAGGCAGGGGTGGGGAGAGGCAGGGAGGAAGCAACTTACCCTCCCTCTTCTCCTGCCTCCTCCTGGCTGAATGAGGGCCGGAAGCGGGGCGGCCGGAAGCAGGGGGAGGGGCTTCGTCATGTGCCCCGCCACCTGTACCTCACCTGGGGGAACTGCGATCCCCCCGAAATGACCTCTGCTGCTTAAGCAATATGGGGAGGTCAGCTCCCTTTCAATGGCAGGTGTCCCCACTCCCTCCATCAACTATTTTCTGTTACGTCCTGAGATCAGCGTCATCTGACCGAGTTGCTCTCTTAATGAGAGTAATTAATTAATCTGCGTGTTATTGTAGGGTGACAGTGGAGGACCCCTGGTGTGTGAACAGCCTGCCGGGCGCTGGACATTGTTTGGGTTAACCTCGTGGGGCTCTGTCTGCTTTTCCAAAGTTTTGGGACCTGGAGTTTATAGCAATGTGTCTCATTTTACTGAATGGATTGAACGGCAAATCTACATCCACACCTTTCTGCTCGGCTGATTCGTCAAGACAGAAATGCTGTGCGGAGTGAAAGGGGGGGGAAGAAGCAAAGCCCAGGAGCACCGAAGCAATGAAGATGTCAAGCTGAAGAAATCTGGTGAATTACAAATTCTAAGGATTGCAGGTGTCTGGCAGTGGAACAGTATAAAAGAATCTGTAAGTCTTCTGTTGGCAAAAGTACTTTTAGGTAGAAGTCAGTTTTTCTGAAACATCCTTTCTGGCATTTTCTTTAGCAGAGTTGTGTTATGTTTCTCACACTCACTCACTTTGACACTTTTACACACACACACACACACACACACGAGAAGAATCAACCAGATTATCATGTCATATGATGCCTTTCAGACACTTAAAATTAGGTGGGTTTTCTATAATGTCAGGAAAGAAAAAGTATATACTGCTGAAGACATTGGCTTGGAACAGATTCCCACTTCGACCCTGGCCATGTTCCTGAGGGTCCATTGACCTTTGGGAGAAACATTTAGGAGGGGGATAAATGACTGCAGCAGGGCCGTGCAGTCATATCTGCATATTACAGCATCCAAGCCACAGGTTTTTTTTACTCTTCCTGAGCTCTTGCAACAAAGCATTTATGCATTTGCAAAGGTGATGGCCACATCGGACCCTTTGGTTAAGCCAAAGCAGTGCCCATCCCAAGGATAGTTACAAGGAAAAAAACCAAGTCAGGAGAGAAAAGGTCAGTCTGATTAGCATGGCAAAAGACTCACCCACTTTAAAGGAAGGGCTATCATAAAGTGGCATAAAGGATTTTTAAATTAAGGATCAACAATGTAATCAAGTATGGGAAAAATATTTTACATAGGACGTCAACAGAAACTAAGGTAAATAACGCTGTTCTACAGGGTACAGACAGATTTCTGATGGTGGGAAGTGCCATCAGGTCACAGCTGACTTATGGCAACCCTGTAGTGTGTTCAGGACAAGAGACATTCTGAGGTGGTTTGCCATTGCCTGCCTTTGAGTCATGACCCTGGTATTCCTTGGAGGTGCCCTATCCAGACACTAACCAGGGCCGACCTGAGATCTGATGAGATCGGGCTACCCTGAGCTATCCAGGTCAGGGGTGGCAGATTTCTAACTCCTACCAAACAATGACTCTTGTGCACCACGTGACAAGAAGCAGACTAAGATGTACAGTTGGAATTCATAAGTTTCAAAAGAAATGCTGTAGTCTAGGAGGTAATGCTGATCCTCTGTTCACTGCCTACATGCCATCTGTGCTAAAACTCAATCTTACAGATTGTCTCAGGTGCTACTCCACAAAACAGGTGATGGCTTCATGATAAAAAGTAGAGACGTCACCCTGCCAACAAATGTCAAAGCAGGTCAAAGCAATGGTATTCCCAGTAGTCATGTATGGCTGCGAGAGTTGGACTATAAGGAAGGCCGAGCGCCGAAGAATAGATTCTTTTGAACTATGGTGCTGGAGAAGACTCTTGAGAGTCCCTTGGACTGCAAGGAGATCAAATCAGTCAGTCCTAAAAGAAATCAACCCCGACTGTTCCCTGGAAGGCCAGATAATGAAACTGAAGCTCAAATGCTTTGGCCACCCAATGAGAAGGGAGCACTCCCTGGAGAAGACCCTGATGCTGGGAAAGATTGAAGGTCAAAGAAGACGGGGACGGCAAAGGATGAGATGGTTAGACAGTGTCATAGATGCAACAAACATGAAATTGAGCCAACTTCAGAGGACGGTGGAAGACAGGAAGGCCTGGCGGGATCTAGTCCATGGGGTCGCGAAGAGTCGGACTCGACTGTGCGACTGAACAACAACAACAAACAGAATTGACTGGAGACTGCCTGTTGGAGCACCATAAAAGGACGCAGGCTACTGATTTTCCTCAGCAGGCTTCAAAGCCAAGCAAAAGATCTGAAGCAAGACATGAACAGAGAAGATCCTGGATCTCTGCGGAAGGGCAGGCCTTCATTTCCCCAAACCAAGCTCACCTGATCTTGCAATGAAACAGTGCTATGTGGCACAGCTGCCTTCTTATACCTGACGTGTTGCACACTGCCTGCTGTTCCTGCCATTTCACCTTGGATTTGATCCCAGAGAACACACGGAGGCTGTGTATAGCTACCACTGCTCAGGAAGTCCTTCCCCCACCCCACAGTTCCTTCAGCCTGTTGTCTTTGCCCAAGAGACTAGAGCCTTACAGGCTCATAAGAAAAGGGCTGCAGCCATACCCATACCTGATAAAATGGCCCCATTGGTTATAGAGATAATCGGTGTGCTCACATTTGTATAATACAGCCTGAACTTTAATCACATGGCTTTCTAAAGCTGATTTGCGGCTGATCAGGTCTGGGTACTCTCCTTTCAATTCATGTGTAGGGTTCTACAGGAAAAGAAACTAGGGCTGCCCGGTCTGGGTTGGAAAATACCAGGAGACTTTGGGGGTGGATCCAGGAGAGGGTGTGGTTTGGGGAGGGGAGGGGCCTCAGGATGGTACAATGCCATAGAGTCCACCCTTCAAAGCAGCCATTTTCTCCAGGGGAACTGGTCTCTGTCGGCTGGAGATCAGTTGTAAAAGCGGGAGATCTTCAGGCCCCACCTGGAGGCTGGCAACCCTAAAAGAGACATTCCGTATCAGAAGCTGCAAGATGCCGATTAGGCCTTGCAGGCAGAAATCTTTCTGTGGCAGGGACTTTATGGAGGATGAGCAGAGGCCCCCCACTTCTGGATACAAGATGTAGGAAAGAAATGGAGCAAGCTCCTCATCTGAAGGGTCTCATCCTCCCAAGCCTCCGCCTCCTCTTCCCAGCTAAGACTGTGAAACCAAGCCCCTTGCCGAGGAAGCCAGTGGCTCTGCTCCTTCTGACTGTGAAGGATTACATTTACTGTCTATTTTAGAGGGGAATATCTAAACAAAGGGTTCTTCAGACTGCAACTTTGAGAGCATCCTTAAGAGAAGTTGTGGGGATCCAAGTCTAAATTTCATCCCTACCAGAGAACATTTGAAACCTGAGATTTCATAATCCTAGTAGTTTCTAATAAAATCAACATTATTCTCCAATTAGCCTGGGACCTGGGTCTCTTTAACGGGTCTCAGCATAGCGGGTTCTCAGTTGCTTTGAGTGTGGAGAACATAAGAGAACATAAGAACATAAGAGATGTCAATGTTGGATCAGGCCAAAGGCCCATCCAGTCCAACACTCTGTATCACACAGTGGCCAGAAATACCAGTGCCACCAGGAGGTCCACCAGTGGGGCCAGAACACTAGAAGCCCTCCCACTGTTGACCCCCCCCAAGCACCAAGAAGATAGAGCATCACTTGCCCCAGAGCCCCTATCTATACCTTGTGGCTAATAGCCACTGATGGACCTCTGCTCCATATGCATGGTCCAAGGACATATGGGTAATGAATACAGTCTCTAAGAACTATACCATAGAGGGACCCTTAAGAAAAATTGTGGTATCCTCTACCCAATAGAACATGACCCAAAGGGGTCTGATGCTGGAGACCATCGCCCAGCTTTTGCATACATGTGACATATAGTCACTCCAAGTAAATCAGAGAGGAATAAATGTGTACTCTCTGTTTTTGCACTAGGGCTGTCATTGTAATCAACATGTTGTGAACAACCTGGTGAGTCAAAAGGACAAACATTGTAGTGCTACTCATTGAAACAAAACTAAAGAAAACTTATGTTGGATACTCTTATTGGCACTTGGTGATAAGCATCCTTCAGGTGGATTCATGCGATGAAATTCCAGGGTTCTGTCACAGCTACCTGGGAAGGTTAGGGTCTCCAGGCAAACAAATATTAAGAAGACTATGGAACGAGCCCCCATTTTTGTCTAAGTGAGCTAGGCCATGCCATTAAAAAAAAGATTTATACAATACATCCATAACAGTAAACTGCCTCACTTGACAAGAAAGTTTTTTTTATTCCAATTAAATGTTAAAACAAAGTGTTTGGTGCTTTGGAAGAAGCCATCTTGGAGGCCGCGAAAAAGGGAATAGTATTCCAAAAACTATTGTTATACAGTTTCCCCCTACGGGCGGACAAGAGTTCAACCCATTTTCTGGAGTAGCACCTGAGAGACTCTTAAGAATTAATCCAGGGTAAATGCCCAGCTGGCCATTTTGTAATCTAAGAACCATGGAAGGCATAGATCGGAAACACTGCACACTGAATGCCCTTCCAAGCTTACTACTACTGCTACTACGATTACTACTACTACACACTCACACAGATAAAAATGTTTATAGCTCAGCTATACCCTGGACTGTAATAAAGTCCAGACTACTGCTAGAGCAGAACTTTTAATTTCTGTTCTTCTCTACTTATGCACCTTATGTAACATGTAACAAACGATGTCCAGTATTGCGCTACTAATTACTATTTATATACGCTCAAAAACTATGTTTAATTCATCACCGTATTTCATTTTCTTCAATGTCAAAAGAATCCCTATGCCTTGATATAGTTGCCTTCCTATTGTGGGACTTGGGGAGAACAAGTCTTCTCCCATGGACTCCAGTACAATAAAATAGATTGCAGTTTGGATACAAGTAGACTGAACCACAAAACCAGTTGACAAAAAGTCCAGTCCATGCTGAAGAAATCCTTCGTGTCATTGTGGATGCGGGTGCACAAAGCAAGACTGATGTAAACCAGGTTGTACATGGCCACCATCTCCATAAAAGAAAAAAAGGGGGCCATGGGAAAGACCATTAGTTCCCCACATGTATGACTTTCACTCTAACTTTTCTCCATGCCACTGTGTATTTCTGCTCGGTTCTCACAATCACATGGAGGAAATTAGCACTGTGAATAGGCCTATAGTAGTGTGTGAGGATTAATGGTCTTATGTCACATCGGTCAGGTGACCAGTCACCAAAAGCACAAAATCACATGCATGCAATGACGTATGAAAATTAATTGGCACACTAGCCAGTTGTGCTTATTGTGGTCAAATCATATGGGCATCAACTGTATTCAAAGTCAAACCCATCTGCATTGATTGAGA